CTCATACGATGAGTGGATATGATCCTTCACAGAAAGGTGGTGAGGTTATGCAGTTGAAACAATTGGCTCCATGCACCTTATGTGATTTCTCACATTTCCAGAGACATAATTCGCAGTCTCCGTCACTGAGATATGAGGGAAATCTCAGAGATGAACAAATGGGAATGGAACATAGATTAAAAGCCATATCTATGTGGATAACATGAATCAAATTAGGTTGTGGACTAATATTTGCCTTTTATCAGAAATGGCAAACGGACAATTTGCTAAACTGTTGGACGAAAACAAATTTAAAGACCCAAACTATGCTGACTGGTACCGTAACCTTATGCTGGTCCTCACTTCAAAAAAGTTGGACAAAGTAGCTAAGAATCCTATCCCGGAACGTCCGGGTGATAGGGCTTCTAAGGCCCATAGGAGGGATTACCAAGAATGGGAAGAAAAAAATTCCCTTACCCGCTGCTACATCATAGCCTCCTTGGATATTCCGATACAACAACAGTTTGATTAGATCGAATTGTAAAAGGATATCTTGGATAGTCTAAGGACGATGTATGAAGAGCATAATCGTTCTACTCGACAGAAGGTCATGAAACAGTTCATGACCGCGTAAATGTCCAAGAACCAGCAGGTTCATGACCATTGTCTAAAGATGATGGATTATATTAATGAACTTGAGGCTTTTGGATCCGGGTTGGACCATGTGACCAAGGTAGATGCCATCCTAAATTCTTCGCCTCCTTCCTTCAATCAATTCATCATGAACTACAACATGAACAAGCTAAATGTTAGCATCCAAGAACTCAGCAATGTGTTGCAGAGGGCCAAGGAACTGATTAAGAAGGATAAGCCCACTGTCATGCTTGTTGAAGCCAACAAATCGGGCAAGAAGAAGAGGAAGGCAAAGAGAAAGCCTCAGAAGAAAGGTACTAAGTCTAAGAAGCAGAGAAAAGACAAAGAATCGGATGCTTGTCACTTCTACAGACATGCTAGCCACTGGAAGAGGAACTGTCCTCAGTACTTGGAATCCAAGAGACAAGGTAATTTCAAATCCTGTGTCATAGAAATCAAATTGTTGGTAACTTCTGCTTCCTGGTGTATTGACTCCGGGGCTTCGACTCATGCGTGTAACTCACTGTAGGGGTTCAAGATAAGTAGAAGACTGAGTGACGGAGAAGTAACTCTTTACTTGGRGACTTCTACAAGTGTTGCAGCTACATCTATAGGAACTGTAGAGTTAATTTTCAAAGAATGAACTATTGTACTAAAAGATTGTCTTTATGTACAAAATTTGAGAAGAAATTTGATTTCTGTTTCAAAACTGTGTTGATGAATATTCTATTCCTTTTAGTAATACGATTACTATCAAAAGAAATAACAAATTCCTCGCATACGGAAAACTTGAGAATGGTCTCTATGTTCTTCATCTTTCTCTGGAAACTAACATAGTAGAAACTACGTCGGATGACATCCCCAAGAAAAGAACCCGTGATACAGTTAATCCCACGTGCATGTGGCATTATCGACTTGACCATATTAACATAGATCATATCACAAGATTGGTAAAAGATGGTCCTTTGGATTTTCTAACTGTAGAAGATATTCCAACCTGTGAACCTTGCCTTCAGGGTAAGATGACAAAACGGCCATTTGGTCCTAAAATAGATTTTAGTTTACTTGTTTCTTTATACATATTTGATTTGTTACTTCTCTTTCACTTTTGGCTCAGTTTGGCAGGAGTGTGAATACAAATATATAGAGTGCAAAACCTTGTATTTTATATGTATTTGTACTATACATATTTTCATTTATACTCTTTCCAAACTCTGAGCCTATGGATCATTGCTTTTCTGCTTTATTTCAAACCATTTTGTTTCCTTTGAAACATGAAGCAGACATCAATTTTACCTCTGTTTTGTTCTCCCCACCCCAGATCTTGGAAATCCAGGCGTGCAACTCAATTTCATGGCCCAAAGTATTAAGTGACAAAAAAAAAAAAAGAAAGTGGTTGGCATGAAGGCCACTTCCTGATCCATAATTAACGAGGGAAGGAGGAACAAATTCTTCAGCCGTGGGGTTTAACTTGGAAAGGAGTTCCTCCAAGTCCCTGATATCCCACTTGTAAGTCTCACCAACATTTCCGTTCTTCTGCGGGCAAACAGCTATTGGAGGTCTGGTGGTGGTGGTACTTGTTACAATTGTGGAGAGTAAGGGCATTTTGCAGAGTGCCCTAATGAACAAAAGTGTTTCCAATGATCTGGTGAGGTTTATTTGGGTGTCATAACAAAGAAAATAAAATGACACACAAAGGCATTTATATCTTTCTATACACCAATTAATGATTGGTTAACGGTAGGAACCAATTTGATTGTTTTTGAAAGTTTAGGTACTTCAATTTTGGGTACTAACTCGAAACCACCCCAAAGTTCAAGTACTAATCTGAAATTTTTTATTTTTATTTTCAAGTCATCAACTCATGTATCTTAATTAGGTGATGGATCTACTGAGACCGCGGGTGCATCAAATCAAAGAGGGCCTAGGATACACATCCTTCCTATATGTGGAACATTTACCGTCGCGTAAAACCCATCATGGGGCTACACTACACAACAGGAGGATGTTTACGGTCTACCCGCATCCGTCAAACCCATGCCATAATCCCCCAAACCAACACAAGAGAAGGGGGGATTCGGAGATTGGAAGTGCACACCTTGCTGTTATTGTTCACTGTTCGGTCACCGTACGTAATTCTAGACTTCTAGTCTCTCTGGATTCAGTTGAGGCTTAAGAGTTAAGAGCTTCCCCTAGGAGCGGGAGAAGAATAGAGAGACTACATATTGCAGTATGTATTATAAACCATGGAAATGCACCATTGCTTACGAACGATACAAAATCGACACCCCCCGCCATAGAATATTTTCAGATAATCCAATCAGAGCAACAAAATACAAAATCTCATTCTGAAACATCATTAAATATGGGTAGCTTAATTCAACTTTAGTCTTGAGAGTTTGGATAACATCAGAACATAGAATTCAATGGAATAATACTTGGTACTCTGCCGGCTTCAAATCATATTTCTAGAAGGCACTACCATACCAATAAGAAAACAGAATAAAAAACCGGAAAGCTAATAACTAATAAAGGCCTGCCTTCCATTCTAGTAGGTAGTCCCAGAAAGATATTCTCCAACAAAAGAATACTAGCTGCCTTCCCTTCTTCCCTTCTAGTAGGAGAGTAGGACGGGAGGGAGGACCAACAAAAGTGAGTGAGTGGGTACACACTAGTACAAAAGCCAAGTTATTGCTGGGCACACTGCACACGAGGCATTGATGGTTCATCATCCTCGTCGTATGCTTCCTGCTGTTGCTGCTGTTGCTTCCGCCTCATTTCCTCTTCAATGTTGACATCATGCAACGTAGTCTCCTCACACTCGTCGAGTTCCATCTCTGACAAATGACTGCTTGTCCTTGGGGGCAGGATTGTCTCCAAGGTACGGCATTGATCTGGGGAGAGAACTCCGGTATCTGGGAAGTCCACACTGAATTCAATGTACAATCGACCCTTCATAAAAGGCCTCTGATGGTGCGGCATCCCCTCATCGTTAATCGCCTTGTATTGACCTGGATTGACAAGAAGATTGTAATGTATTAGATTTACAAGAGCTTGGTTTCATGTGTACAAGAGCGTGCAAAAAACGAAAACCAGTAATAAATAGTACCAGGCTTGATAACCTCGCCAGGATTAGATTTTATTAAGAGTTGTCTGCCATCAAGATGTGTCAAAGCAAACTGGAAGCCACAGAGGGCCTCTGTCAAACTGAGGGTGTGCTCTACATAGAGATCATCAAACTTCCGCTTGAACTTGGGATGCTCCTTCAGTTGCAATACAAAAACAATGTCCCCCGTAATGGTATCAGGCTGCAAATGATGGAAGCAAGATCTTGGCAATGTCAGTACAAGTCCAAAAGGGCCTCGCATGAAATGCAAATCTTGTTGTCCAAAATGACACAGTTTAATGCACTTACAGCTTCATCAGCTTCTCCTCGGAATACAATTTTTTGGCCATGCTGCATGCCTTTCTCAATATTAACCTCTAGCACCTTCTTCTCCTGAGAAACCTTGTTGCCTTTGCACTGTGGACATCTATCTTTCTCATTAATAACTTCACCTGCATCAAGAATTTTATGGTAAATGACAATGACAACTAGAATCCACAACTTACAAACAAGATGCACATTATATTCAATACCTGAGCCTCTACATTCAGGGCAGACATGTTGCATCTGCTGGATCATGCCTGGTCCAATTTGACGGGTTGAGATCTTCATACCCGTACCTTGGCATCCATAACAACGCCCAGGTACCCCACTCTTTGACCCTTTCCTGAAATGAATAAAAATGCAAGGTAAAATAATGTCTGCAATCCACTTTGCATCACTCAACATGAAATATACCAGCTCAATAGCAAGGTCAACTCAACTTTTAGGTTCAATTAAAGAAAATCTTAGGGCAAAATTCATCCACCGGCGAACTGAGCAAGTAAATGTGAACCAGTAAGCCAGGTAAGGTAAGTCTTAAACGATCATCCTCCATTCACCCTTTACAATCCAAATTTATTATGCATCCTAATGCATATTATTACCTTCCTTGAATTTCATTTTTGTTTTTGGTACTATATTCTGTACCATCCTAGAATTTCCAGTGAAGATAAATTCATCATCTGAAAATTTGCCCCTCATGGCATGAGCCTCATGCACTGGGCTACCCTTTGTTAGGGTAAAATCAACATACATGTTGGTCTATGCTGTCTTTAACCTTCAAAGAAATCAAAACCTAAACCATAAGCAAGGAAGATCTTAAAATTGTATCCAATCATAATAATTTTCTTCTTCTTTCACCCTTTCTTTCTTCTTTTCTTAGGGCAAAAATAGGGACTTCACCACTCTATTTTCTAAATTTTCTTCTCTTTCTTCTTTTTAATCTCATGAATATATGTTGATTTTCTATGTTTTAATATGAAGTTCAAACATTTTTTTATGAAGATCATAGATAATTACCCAGTGAAGGATGGTTGTTGGTTGCCATGGAACCTAGGACCCTAGGATTCGTGGTTTTTACAATAAATAAATAAATAAATTCCATCACCTAGCCGACTAATAAAGAAAGATGGCACAGGAATCCAAACTTTTGTAATGCAAGACCTGGATTGCCAACATGGGATTTAGTGGATAAATTCAAGGCCTAAGAGCACTCTTCTCTACTAAGTATGAGAAGCCAAATTCTTCTCATACAAAACAGTATATGCAAACCACTTAATATAATCTAAACCTTGTATCTAATTACAAGTAGTTTATAGTTGCAAGCACCCCAAAGATCAGGAATGAAATTGTGCATATAGGAAAGGAAGTTCAAAATTCCAAGCGACCAAGATAACAATCTGGCATGAAAAACAACATCTTTCCTAATCATTTGAACGGAGTGCCTTCAATTAGTAAATAATCAGAATAAGATAGATGCCTCCACTCTGGTTTTGACAATTATCCATGCAATACCATGAATTATTTACTTCTGGAATCATGACTTAATCTATCACACAAAACCCTTCCCTGTGAGAAAACTTTGGATGTCCATGTTCGACAGCCTGCGCTGCCAACATAGCTCTACCTACATGATGCATTAGTTCACCCAGCCAATAATTTTCTCCCTCTCCCCCACCCCCACGACAACCCCCCCCTCCCGAGGAAACTTCCAAAAATAGACAACACCATGGATTAGATGGACATACCCTTTACATTTAGGGCACAAAATGTTTCTAGAGAGAGAGAGCTTCTTCGATGTTCCATTGTACAAATCTTCCAAAGAAACCTTGAGTGTGTGGACTACATCTTCACCTTGTTTCTGCCTTCTTCCCCTGGAGCTACCACCACCTACAGTCACAAATGACAATAAGAACAAAACCATCACCGAGATGACAAGTTAATACACAAATATGTATGATTTAGAAGCAATAATTTCAGAACTCTCACCACCAAATCCACCTCCAAAGAAAGATTCAAATATATCAAAAGGATTGTGAGAAGCACCGCCTCCTCCCATTCCCTCCTTAAGTGCATCTTCACCATATTGGTCATATATTTCTCTTTTCTCAGTATCACTAAGAACTTCATAAGCCTGAGCCAACTCCTTGAACTGATTCCAGAACAAAGGGTATATGTATGTTAGTAAACACAATAAGGTCACAAACAATACTTGCTTTGAGATCATTCTCAAACTATATAAAAGAATTAAGGATAATAAAATCAAACCACAGGCAGAGCTTGAATAGTTGAGGCACAACAAAAGGAATACTCCCAATAATGAATTGAGAAGTTCCTACGGTAAAGAAACGCCTGCACGTATTCTTGGAAGTTCTTCAAGCTCCAAGTATAATTATTTTTTGTGGCTCTCACTCCACAATCTAGTCTCTTGGGTCATATTAATATACGTAATTAGCTGCCCATGGAAAATTCTATTAGATATCAGACCTCTCTCTTGCTCAGTTGAGCGCCTGGGAAGGTTCATTTACTCCAATACTCCATTCAGCAGAAAATTGTTAAAAGTATAAGAGGAAAGTCTAGGGTGGCCAGTGGTGCTCAATTTGTTGTTCTGGGAAAGGCTGGTATGGTTCCAGAACCATACCATTTTTTTTAAATTGGCAATGCTTTTTAGACAATGCATAAGAGGTTGTTCTGTTCAAGGCTTCAAGGATCAAAATTTCATATCACCCATATTGGCCGACACAAATCATATCAGCAGGGTACCAATATGTTGTTTTCAAGGTTTTTTTAAAAAGTGTTTTTCTAGACATTAATATGTTATTCCCAACCCCCCTTTAAATTTTGAAGTAAAAGAAAAACTATAAAATATATACAAGGTATCTTGGTAATGTATCTTTATTTTATTTTAATGACAGTTTTTCTTATCCTTCAAAAAAATAACTTTGAACCGTGGTTCTGTTCATGGTTCATTTTTGAACCATGATATATGAGTATTGATTATTAGATTCATGTGTATATATAATGTTGCCTGGTTCAGAAAGCTATGAAACGATGTGTTGTATTTTGCTGGAACACTACAGACATACAGAATGCTGGTTCCATAGTGGCATGTTCATGAACCAGACAAAACGTGAATACAACCACAAACCCAACACCTCCCAAGTTACCATGATTCATCTGCTATTTAGGATTCTAAATTTACTCCAACCAAGGAGTTGGTCAGTAAGATAAAATCTACTTCTTGCATTCTTTATTTTTTATATATACAAAAGCATCAGCGGCAATGTCAATAATATCACCTTCCATGAAGCAAAATAAATGTGGCAAGCTGTATACTTCTGGCTTTTAAAGCAAAATAAATAAAAACACATTGAATTGGGCGAGTCCAAAACCAATGTGGCAAGCTGTATGCTACAAAGAAAAAAAGACTATGGCAATCCGCCGGATACTAAGAAGAGGAAGAAAGGCTCACCTTCTCAGGATCTCCTCCCTTATCAGGATGGTTTTTTATAGCAGCTTTTCTATACGCCTTCTTCAGCTCATCTTGACTTGCATTTTTGGAGACACCAAGGATCTCATAGTACTTGGTGTTGTCGCTCTTCCTAGGAGCACGCCCAAACATGATTGCAGCACTTTAATATCACCACCCACACACAAAAGCTCACCTGAATAACGCAAGAATGTCTCTTTCCAAACTTTCTGGCTATCCTGAGATCCGAAAGACTGTAAAAATTATAAGTCAACACTTCAAAACAGAGATGTAACTATTTACAACAAAGAATTTAAGTTTTTGGTAGGATTAATATTAAGTATTTCTAAAATCTAAAATTACAAAATAATATTTTGAAAATCTAGCGAAGGGATCATAATTTATAAATAACCAACCAAAAATAGAGAAAAATTATATTTCCATCGATCAATCAATATGCTAAAACTATGGATCTAAAGATGACGACGAAATTACAAAGATCTGCACAAAGAACAGCAGAAGCAAAACCAAGAATATCAGATCTATATCCATGCAATAAAATTACTCTTGAGGACCTAATCGGCTAATCAATCAAAGAGGATGGGAAGCAAGAAACCCTAGAATCAATTATTCGAGGACACAACAAGAAGCCCATACCCTAAGCAGTCTGAACAAAATCTCGTCAGAATCGGAAACCAAAACCCATGATTAGTAACAAACAAAAAGGCGATAGAGATCCACAAACAAATACTGAGAAGGCCAAAGATGAAGACCTAATCTGAACCCTAATTCGCAGTTGTGGTCGATGGGTGGAGAAAAAATCGTGAACACAAGGATACATACATATAGAGCGAGGGAGGTCAGGGAGCTTACTTGAGGGCAACTGCCTTCTGGAGAAAGGGGGAGAGCACCAGCCTACAGAAGACAGAGAGAAGAGAAAGAGAGAGCGAGGAAGTATCGTCTCCCAAACTCGTCTCCACGGAGGGGTTTCCACCTTTGTTGACGCTCCCCTTATAAAAGGGAAAGAATTAAAGAGTCTCTGCTGGCCGTTCCTGAACTTGTCACGTGGCAGATCCAACGGTGCAGACAACCTCTTGATAATGGGTCGTCGTATAAAGCAGCTGCGAGTGTGAAAGCAAATTGTGTTTCGTCGAGTTCATTCTCACTTCTTCGGACTCTTCTTCCTTGAAGGAGCGTAGGCTCGAGTCGTAGTAGCGTAGAGCCGAGGACTATTTGTTGAATTGTTGACGGTAGAGAACGCTGACAGGTGCCGCATATTAACAAGTGTAGTTTAATATTCCATCAATATGGGTGACGTGGCATTATTATCCACCGTGCAATGAATCCATGCTACCTAATTCAGAGAAGGTGTAGTGGAGTTGGGATCTTCTCGCAACTTCATCTAACACCGCATATCTCATCGACTGGGGAATTCGCCATGTATGAGATGTGCGGTGTGAGATTTAGGTTGTTAGAATGTATTGTGTGGGAGTGATCCGGACTCGGTGTAGTGTAGACGTTCACAGGTGACAGGACACATCAATCAACTCTCGCACCTTTGCTTTTGATTGCGCTCTCATCTGCTACTCACAGAATGTTTCAGCGGCACCTGACAGCATCATGCATCGTAAAGGGCTGCAAATAAGTCGGATAGATCCGATCCGTTAAGATACGGATTCGGATATCCCTTCTGATCCTAACAAATGGATCGGATCGGATTTTCCGATCCGTTAATGATCGAATTCGGATGTTGCTGATCCTGTCCGATCCGTTAATTATAAAATATTATATATTATATACATATTATATATAATATGAATCGAATTCGGATGTTGAAAATATATTTTCAATATATTAGAGATTATACTATTCATTAATTAATAATATATTTTCAATATATTATTATTGACTAAGTTAATATATTTTCAATTTATTGTTTTCATTTTACTAAAACATCCCATATATTTTACAACTTGTTTATTCAATCAATCTTTCATTAAGGAGTGTTTGTTTTGCCATTAGGCCCATGAGTTTTTATTCCAAAAATACCCTTAACACGTTTTTATACAAAAAAAAAACAAAATTGGCCAAATATAGCTAATAGAGTGGTTGCCCATGTCTTATTAAGGGCAAAAATAGTACTTTTTTTTATTTTCTTTTGATTAAATTTATTTAAATGAACATTAGGGTCAACATTGTCATTTTCCACTATCATCTAATGGAAGATTGATTAAATCCGTTGTAAATTATAAATTGTGTTTTAGCAAAATGCTAACTATAGGGTAGATTTTAGAAAATCCATGAAACTATAAGGGTATTTTAGTAAATGACCCTTGTATTATTTATCTTTCGCTTAATAAATCTCATGCATCGCACAAGTCCCCGCTAGTATAATTGTTAATTATTAGTGGATTAATAAAAATGTTAGCTTTTATAATTGTTTTTATTAATTTAAAGCTAATCAAAATTTCATTTAAAAATAAAAAAAAAAAATTATTAAAATTACTACAAATTATTAATAAAACTAAATTTATTAAAAAACATTTGTTCATATTCAATTAACAATAATTATTTTTTATAAATAAACATTAAATAAAATATAAAATTATTAAATCTTTTAGAATTTCTTGTGCATCGCACAAGTCCCAGCTACTTTATTAATATGTAATAGCTTTAAATAAATAAAATTAAAACAACAAAAAAAATTAAATATTTTATATATTATTTATATATTTATCATAACTAGATTTTAAATAGTTAAAATAACAAAATTATGTAATAAACTAGAAAAAAATCTTCAAAGTAAAAAAATAATTATAACATAATATTGAAATTAATAACAAAATTAATAATGAAATTATGTAATAATAGTATAAATTATGATTTTATGGATAATTAAATTCAATAAATAATTAATATTTTAAAATTTAAATATTTTACATAATATTTAAGTATTTAAATAACTAATTGTTTTAAATGAAAAAATATTTAACATAACTAGATTTTAAATAGTTAAAATAAAGAAATTATGTAATAAATTTTAAAAAGTTCTAAAAAGTAGAAAAATAATTATAAGATAATATTAAAATTAATATTTTACATAATATTGTAAATAATTAATTTCACGTATATCAAGTAATATTTCGAGAAAATAACTTTCAAAAAAATTAATATTTATTAATAATAATTTTAATCTCTTAATCTGTATTTATTATATAATTATATATGCTAAAATTAATATTTATTGTATTTCTGTAATTATTTATTGTTTCCTGTGATAAATGTATTTTCAATATTCATGTATAAATTTATTTTGTTTTGTTATTTAGCAGACAACTTTCAATAACTATTGGAGATTAAATTACTATTATTGAAATTTTAAATTTAATTTATTGTATTTTTGTTATAAGTTATTGATTAATATTTATTAGAGATTAAACTATTATTTGAAATTATACTATTTATTGACTAAGTAAATTTATTTTTAGCACTTATTGTGTATTTGTAATTTCTATAACTATTGTATTTTTTATTGTCAATATTGTTTCAATGATTGTGTGTTTTCACTATAATTTTTCAATAATTATTGGAGATTAAACTATTGTTATTTATCAGAGATGAGACTATTAATTTAGTTGAAATTACGAGTGTTCATGAGCTGGTTCGGTTCGGTCATAGGCTATTTGGCCAACCAAATTGACTTGGTCAAGTTAGTTGGTCAGTTGAAACCGACTAACCATTTGTGAAAACCAACCCACTCAAGTTGCATTGGTTTGGGTTGATTTTTTGGTTTGGTTAGTTAATTCAAAAGATTTAAACTTAAAAATTTAATTTAATTTTAAAAATTATAATGCAATTGTTAAAAAATAAATTTAAAAATTAGATTTATGATATAAATCATTTTAGACTAAAAAATATGGGAAATTTCTCACTTTTCATATTAAAAATTATATTTAAAATATAAAATTTTAATATATATTCATGGTTAAGTCATTCGATTTTGGTTGGTTTACAAATGGCCAAAGTGAAATTGATCTAATTTGGTCGAATTGAGAATTTTTTTAACCAAAGCCAAAATAAAATACTAGAAAGCTGACCAATTTGGGTCAAGTTAATCGAGTTGGTTGGTTTCATCAATTTGATGAATAAACCTAACTGAAACTAATTATTATTATTTTTATATTATAAAAATTTTATTAAAAGTAGTATATAAAATATGAATAATTATTAATTATTTAAAAAGTTGAAAATATAAAACAATTGTATACTCTTGTGTGTTTCTATTAGGGTCATTTATTAGAACACACCTTTAGTGATGGCAATTTTCCCCATCCCCAACGAGGACCTAACTTCCCTGATTCGATGGGGCCATGGATGGGGATTGTTTTGGCGGGGCAGGGGCAGAGACAGGGATTAATAGGAATCCTCAGTCGGGGTCATGGATGGGGGTTGAGGTCCCCGCCCCGCCCGACCCTAATTATATATATATATATATATATATATATATATGTTATTTATATTAAATATACTATTATATTATTTATATTATATATATCAAAAAATTATTTATAATTAAAAATTTTTATTTATTTTAAATAAATTTATTTAAAAAACTACTATTATATAAAAACATTTTGGGGATTCGGGTCTCCACGGGGAACCCATCCTGTCGGGGATCAAGGATGGGGGTTAATTTTAGAATCAGAGTTAGGGACGGAGAATATGATCCCCGCCCCATTGCCATTCCTACACACCTTATAGTTTTACATATTTACTTAAACCTACCTTATAGTTTACATTTTACTAAAATATCCCATATATTTTACAACTTATTTACTTAATCAACAAAAGTAACCAAATATAGTCAATAGAGTGGTTGCCCGTGTCTTATTAAGGGCAAAAAATGTATTTTTATTTTTATTTTCTTTTGATTAAATTATTTAAATGAACATTAGGTTTAACACTATCATTTTCCACTATCATCTAATGGAAGATTGATTAAATCCATTGCAAATTATAAGTGGTGTTTTAGTAAAATGCTAACTATAGGGTAGATTTTAGTAAATTCATGAAACTATAAGGGATATTTTAGTAAATAACCATTTCTATTATTTAACTTTCTTTTAATAAATCCCATGCATCGCACGGGTCCCGCTAGTTTATATTATATAATATAAATATAATTCTAATTGAACTGAATTCGAATTCGATATCTAATAATACATTTGAATTCAAATTCGATTATGCTTTTGAAAATCCAACGATGCTTATCGGATTTGGATCAGTCGGATTTTCTTAACGGATCAGATCGGATATGCCCTCATTGAATCCAATCCGATCCATTTGCAACCCTACATCGTATTCACAGGGTTTGTTAAAAGAATTTGAGGCAAAAGAAGTTAGGGGTGGGTGCAACTTGAGTGGGCCCAACCCGAGTCTAACTTGGCTTAACCAAAGCTTGTGCTAAGGTTGGACTTGAGTTTTCAAATTTCAAGTCTTGGGCCAATAAACTCAAGCCTAACCTAAATTCATGTTGGGCTTAGGTTAAGCCCTCGAGTAGCCTAATCTAATCCATCCCAATATGAATCTGCACAACATTTTATGATATGCATATCTATATATTAGTGATTTACATATCTACATATTATCAATCTATTCTACTTAGAAACTTAGCTACAAAGCTCAATATACCCAAGCCTAGCCTGAGATGTTAGGTTAAGCTCAAGTTGGGCCTCGGTTGGTAAGCTTGGGCTTTACCTTGAATTGGGCTAAGCTTGAGCTCAACGTTTGAGACTTAGGGTTGGGTTTGGGTTGACCCTCAACCTGACCCAATCCACCCAAGTTGCACCCCAAGAAGGAGCATTTTGACATTCCTAATTGTATTAGTTTTTATTTTGTATTAATTTTTTTAACTTTTACTAAATTATTATTTTTTATTTTAAATGGATTAGGAGACTTAAATTAATAATAATTAAGTTTAAAACTAATATTTTCGTTAAGTT